GCTTAGCTGACTGAGCCACCCAGGCGCCCCTCTGGGCTAAGACTTCTAAACAAGGCAGAGGGTGACACATTGCTGGAAGACTTTCGTTCAGCCTGTCGTTTTTTTTTTTTCCTGGTGCAGGAACCTGTGGACGCGTAGTTACTAGAATTCAAAACAATGCAACAAAGGAACTTCGAGAGGTTGCTACCTGTAAGGTGATCAGACAAAAGAGTGGGAGTGCTTGTCCCCAACCAGCCACAGGGGGGTGGTTTCCTGGATGGCCTTGCTGAAGAAGGCTGTTGCAGGGGGTACGTCCTTAATGGGCAGGAAGCTTCACGCTGTTCCTTGTCTATGGGGTTGCTTGGCACTTTCCAGAGGAGGCTCTCTGGAGAAGAGCAGAATGAGAGGGCTGCTTGGTTCTCCTCTCCTGTCCCTGACCTTCCTCCCCTTTCTGAGACTCTGCTGCCTCCCTCTCCCTGGACTTCATGAGTTACTCCAGCTTCCTTCCCCAAACTCCCCTTTTGCTTGAACTACTGTGAACTGAGTTCTTGTTACTTGCAACCGAGAGGGCTTTAACCAACGTAGCCTCCCATGGCCTGGCCCCTGCCTGGCTCCCCAGCTCTGTTTCTGGACACCTCACGTTCCATGCCATCACTCTCTCCATGCGTCACTGCTTCCTGCCTCCTTGCCTTCGCTCCTGCCATTCCCTCTGCTGGGATATCCCTTCCATCTTCCTTTGCCCGGCTAAGAACAGACAAACCCAGCTCACTCAGGACGCCTCCCCGGGTGTGCCTGTCACCTCGCCTACCAGTCAGATGTTAGCCGTTATCTCTGTGCCTCCCACACTAGCCTCTCAGCTCCTTGGGCAGGGACCACATCTTATTCCTCATCTCTGTACCCCAGTGCCTATCACCATGCCTGGCACATGACAGGTGTTTGCTGAAGGAGACTCAGGAATAAACTGAAAAAAAGGGTTTCCATTTCTGCAGAAGGCAAGGAACAGAGTTACCCTGTGGGTAGCTCCTTGAAGAAGATTCTGGCCCTGGCCCTAGAGAGAGAGTGATTGTACCCTACAGTGGTGAACGTTGGAAGGGCACTCTAAACAGTGGTGCAGGCTGGATGGAATAAGACCCTCTTTTTCTCTTGCTACCGCATCATGTTTCTCTCCTCCCGAAATACCTCTGCCTCCTATTCACCAGCGCCATTCTACTAGGGGTTGACACTGTGTGGATGACTTAGATTCAAAGTTCTCGTTTCCTGTGTTCCCTAGGCCTGATGACATGTGTGAATTGTCATCACACATGATGAAGAGATGGGACTCAGGAGGTTGCTGGAAAATGGGTGGATCAGGATTTTGTATCCAGAGGGCCTAAGTCTATCTGAGCAAGTCAGAGGGGGGCTCCAAAGAAGGGGTGGCATTTGGCCTGAGAGGTGAAGCATAATTAGGAGTTTAATAAGAGAATGGGGAGCCCAGTGTGTTCCGGGAGCTACAGGGACTGTGGACAACAGATTAAAATCACTCATCTCGGGGTTCCTGGGTGGCTCAGTTGGTTGAACGTCCAACCCTTGATTTTTTCTTCAGGTCATAATCCCAGGGTTGTGGGATAGAGTCCTTGTCTCTTGCTGAGCGTGGGGCCTGCTTAAGAGTCTCCCTCTCTCTCTCTGCCTCTCCCCCACTTGTTCTCTCTCTCTCTGTCTGCCTCTGTCTCAAAAACAAAAACAAAAAAACCCCAAAAAACCCCACCAAAATTACTCATCTTATGTGAGGGCAAGGGCTGTCCAGAGAAGCAGGGGGAGGAATGGGGTGAGGTGCAGTGTGCCTTGGACGTTCAACAGACTCTTCACTTTGTTCATTTAATAGACCCTGGGAGCGCACTTTGCACAATTATACATATACTTTAAACTGTCAAGCTTACTAGAGAACCTTCTATGCAGCCACCATTAACAAGAAGCAAGTGGTTAAGTATATACACCCTGGAGTCAGATTGTCTGGGTTTAATTCCCAGATCTGCCTCTATCAGCTCTGTGACCTTGGGCAAGTTACTCGACACCTCCATGCCTTGGTTGCATGGTCTGTAAAATGAGAATAATATTACCTCTCTCAGCAAGTCATAGGGATAAAATGGGTGGGTTAATACACGAGACGCCCTCAGAATAGTGCCCAGTGTGCAGCAAACACTCACTGTTGGGCACTAGTATGATTTCATTTCTCATGAAGTTGTTTGCAATCACCAACCGTGCACTTAGTGCACGATCCCATGATAGTAATTACATGATTTTAGTCGTTCATTTGGTGTTGTTTCCCACTGGGCTGTGAATTCCTCAAAGGCATTGATTGAACAAATGTCTCTTTCCAAAGTAATTGAATTCATGCTTTCAAGCATATTTCCTACTTACTACATTTATGTGTTGGTAATCTAAGGGGAGAACTTTTCTTAGGACTGTGAGGGGAAAATAACATTCTTAGTTGGAAACTCCTTTGCGAGGCTGGAAAATCTTTGCACACAGAAGCATTATCTTCTTTATAAACCCAGGCCAGCCCCTTGTGACTTGCTGGAAAACTTACTTCACGGAAGTTTTGTCCTATTCCAAAGGCTTTAAGGAACCCAGAGAAAAGAGAACTATCTGAACCTTGAAACTTGTCCCTTTGGCTGGACATTTTTAGCAGAGTCTTATTATAAAACTTTTAGCAAAGAAACTTCTTTTAAAAGGCTCTAACTCCTGAAAGGTGGGAAAATTAAGTTGAGTGGAGTTTAGACATCATATGCACCCAGAGAAGCTGGCCTGATGCTTCTTCTCGGCTTGTTTAGATTGCCTCGGAGGAGAAAGGGCACAGAGAAGCTTTTCTGCGGAGACCATGGAATGAAAGTTAAAGTAGCCTTAGGAGATTGGCTCTGAGCCTGCAGGACCCAGGAGCTCTGGGAAGGCTGGACCATAGCCCAGAAGGGGCAGACCCAGGTGTGTGTGTGAGATAGGGATGGAGGTAGGGGTGAGGATGGGGGTTCTAACTTCTAAACACCTCCCCTCTCTCCCAACCCCCACTCCCACCAAAGGAAGGCAGTCAAATGAGTCAGCTGAAAGACAAAGATCTGGGGCGCCTGGGTGGCTTAGTCGGTTAAGTGGCCGACTTTCGCTTAGGTCATGATCTCGTGGTTCGTGGGTTCGAGCCCTGCATTGGGCTCTGTGCTGACTGCCAGCACAGATCCTGGAGTCTGTGACTCCCTCTCTCTCTGACCCTCCCCTGCTCACGCTGCCCCTCTCTCTCTCCTAGAAATAAATAAAAAATTAAAAAAAAAAAAAGAAAGACAAAGATCTGAATTGTAGTTCTATCCCTTTGTATCTGCATGACCTTCCTCTAGCCTGGTTTTTCTTTTTTGCCATTGGAGGATTTGACATGGATTGTTTGTAAGGTTCTGTCCCTAGTGTTCAGATTCTGGCTTGGCCCCAGCAGTGTTGGGTACAGTCTGGGTAGAGGAAGGTGGCATTTATATCCAAGCTTCCCATGCCAGCCATCACCACCAAGACCCTTCTCTCCAAACTGCTCTGTGCAACCCTGACCTGACCCAGCCCACTCCCACGCCAGCCTTCCCACTGCATCATGGGGCTGCTCCTCTCTGTTGCCAGTGAGCTCCCAGAAGCCTCAGGCCTTTCTTGCCCCTGCTCATCTGCATGCTCCAGGAGGAGGCTGTTTGTGCTCTCTCGCCATTTGATCTTCAGGTCTGGGATGGGGAGAGGCCTGCTACTCACCCTCTTTGCCCTTACAGTCTCCCTCTTTCCTTCGACAATGTCTCCAGTTCCCTTGAGGTTCTGACCTCAGCCCTCCATCCTCGTCAAGGCTGTCTTCTCCCAGCTGGATCACCTCTCATTCACCGAAGCTGGTGAAGCTTGGCTCACTACTGCTCTCTCCATCCCGACTCATCTCACCATTATTGGCGACTAGAACATCCACTCAGATGACTCTGACATCTCCAGGTTCCTCAACTACCTCACCTCTGATGCTCCCTTCCTCCACACACATATACTCAAATATTTGTTGACCACACGTATACAATAGGCCTACTTGGAGAGATTTCACTTATCTTGAAAACTATGATACCTAAACTAGAATGACCATCTAATTTATTTTCCAAACTGGGGCAGTTTTGTGAATGAAAGAGGACAACAAAGTGATTTACATTATATTATTTTTGAAAATATTTATGTATTGATGACAAATGGCTTTTATATCAAGGCCCCTATGAAATAATTATATTCAAAACCTATTTTCCCAAAAGAAAATTTTCTTCAAACATTAAAAAAAAACTGGATGCTTGGGTGGTTCAGTGTCTGACTTTGGCTTGGGTCATGATCTCACGGTTCATGAGTTCAAGCCCTGCATTGGGCTCTTTACTCTCAGCACAGAGCCCACTTCGGATACTCTGTCTCCCTTCCTCTCTGCCCTTCCCCACTCGTGCTGCCTCTCTCTTTCTCAAAAATAAACATTTTTTTAAAAAAGACAAGACATTTTAAAAACTTCTATGTTTTTAAGATTTAAGATTTAAGAAGAGACATTGAGCAAAACTCTTTTGTATTGATTATCTGCATATTCAAAAACAGGCAGAATAAGACTTCCTGTACTTATTTTAGTTCTTTAATTAGTTTCTTAGCTGAATCTCTGACTAATAGTGTGTGTCACTGGTATCTTTATAAATAATTTCCTTTTTGAAAATAGTTTTTGTATTTGGAGGTTTTTGAACAAATCTGTTTGTAATCACTTTTAAAGTAAAATTTAGGGTTAATAAATTTGAAATTGCTTGTCAGCAATTAATTGATTCTCCCCTGTAGACTTCGATATTTTTAGTTAACAATATATTCTCTCTCCAGGTACTGAGAAATTTGGTAAGCTTGATGCAAATTCTGCTAAATAGATGATATCTTCAAACTGTTTATGTTAAATATTTTGTCCCAAGTATTGACACACGTATTATCTTTTTGCCTCCATTCATAGTAGCAGCCTTCAACACACATTTTCATGAGACACAGTTTGTCAGATAAGTCATCTTTATTAATGATTCTTTGGAACACTCCTCCATTACACACAGATTCATATCCTAACAGATGAGCCCTTGGCAGAAGCTGGAAGTAAAAAGTGGAGCTCAACCAAACTCCATCCTGGCTTATTTGAATGCAGCTATTAATGATCATATCTGGTTAACAAAAGACCGAAGCAGCGCAAATGCTAAAACTGACTGGGACACAGGACAACAGGCATAAATAGGGGCTCTCCCAGGAAACACCTATAACACTGACCCCTCAGAGGCAGCTCAGTGGTTCTCAATCAACGGCAGCATATCAGCGTCACCAGAGAGCTCCTTGAACAATGCCAGTGTCCAGGTTCCATCCCAAGAGACTCAGATTCCATAGCTCTTGAAATGGAGCCTGGGAACCAACATTTGACTTCTTATGAGAGTCTAATGTGCAGCTCAGGCTAAGAGGAGCAGCAGCCTCATGAGCACTGCTGTTAGGCCAGATCACCGTGTTCCTCCAGGCCCATTCCTCAACTCTGAAAGCTATAGGATGCAGGTACATGGTGATTCAGATAACAGAGAGGAGGGAGGTAAAGCAGGAGTGGCTGTGCTGCTGCCACATTTGCTCTGCACGCCATGGTTGTGTTGTTACCATGGGGTGGGTGTATAGCAGGTGCCCTGGGGAACGAGAGGAGCGGAGGGTGGTTCTCCATAAACCCTGTGAATGCTATTCAGGATACAGTCAGAATGATTGTGTGTAATCCTTTAAAACATTTAATTAAGCAACCCCTATATTGTTAGGATAAAAATGGAATTTGTTGAGGGTTACAGAATCGTAATTAGAAATAAAACTAGAAAGAAACCTCTCCAAAGCTCTAGTGAAGCCTGTCTTAAGTTCTGCACTCTACTCTGAACACTTATTTTGAAAACAATCATCAAAGGTAAATCCCCAGCACCCTCAAAATGATGGATCGTTTTGCCTCATTCTGTAAGTTTCTGATCATCTTTCTCACTCCAAGTTTCAAAGCATGAAAAACCACACAGGCAGAAAATAATCACAGCACATCCATTGTCCAAGACCTACATGCTCTACTGCCCCATAAAGCATTGGGGGTTGTCCCAGAGCCGGTTGGGAAAGCAGCATCTGTGGTCGCTTTACCTGCTCTGAATTCAGTTCCGAGGCTGCGAGTTGAACTCTGTACAAATGTTCTGGATGACCTTGGGGACAAATTTGTGCAGGTTGTCAAACTCGTCGACAAAGAAGGAATGGTCCTTGGCGGGGTGAGTGGCGATGACTTCCAGCTCGTCCTGCGCAGCCCATGCCACACCTATTGCGTAGGTGATCACTCCTGTGGGGACAGAGTTTAGATGAAACAAAAGTGCCCAAGAAGAGGTACTGCTAATGAATCCTTGCTTTGCTGTTGCTCTGTTGGCTATTGTGTTTCAATGCAAACAAATTCAAAATTGGAAATCTTCCCCAAAGCATAACCTCCTGCTCTACCACAACAGTAACAAAATGGATGGAGTTGCCATCTTATAGGAGCTTGTAATCTTTGGGAAGGAAAAAAACTCAGGTGAAGTGCAGTAAATGAGTAAGATGTTTATGTCCAGGGGCAGTAGAGGGTAGAGGGTATTTGGGGACAAGTGAAACTTGGTGCCATGTAGATGACATCACATGGCATATGCCTGCTTTACCTGTGTGTAGAGCCAAACAAAGTCTGTTTTATCTATCTATCTATCTATCTATCTATCTATCTTGAAAGATTCCACTTGCTTTTAAATCATCTCCACACCCAACGTGGGGCTTGAACTCACAACCCTGTGATCAAGAGTCGCATGCTCCACTGACTGAAACAGCCAGGCTCCCCTCGGTTTTAAATGGATCAAAAGTCAGTTTGAGATCTTCTTAATGAAAACAGTGGAACCGAATTACTTTAAGCTTGAACAGGACTTTACAAGCCTTACAATGCGATGTCATTCCCGGCACAGGAGCCCTTGCACAAGGACCGAGAGAGATGGTGATCCAGCATCTGCTCCGTCACCGACATGAAGAAAGGCTTTCAAGACAAGGGAGTGCCCAACAGTGTTGGATGCTGAAGGGAGGTCATGTGGGATTAAAACAAAAGACTTGCACATTGGACTTAGAAAACCACAACACATAGGTAGCGTGGTGAGAACAGTTTCTGGGGTATAGATGCCAAAAACCCCAAATGAATTGCTGCGAGATGAGAATGAAAAAGAACAGAAGATGTGGCCACAGCACATAGAGCTGATTCTTTTCAAAGGTTTGGCAGCTAAGAGAAGGAGGTTGGTGGGAAGTGGAGCAGAACATGGTGTCAGAGAGTTTGGTTTTATTTTTTAGGGAGGGATCCCAGTATGCCTAGATGCAAATGGAAAGAGTGCAGAGGGGTTAAAGGTTCTGTACTGCAGTGAGGAAAATGAGTCCTGGGGGAGGAGAGGACAGACTCAGAGACTAGGCATCTGTCCTCAGTGGGAAAACTGGAATCTGCCTGCTGGGTGGTTCTTGATTGGGGTTGGGAGTGGCTGGTCAGCAGGAGCTTGACGTTACTCTACAAAAGTTGTTCCCCATGCCACCTTCAGGCTGGCAGAGTGGGGTCAGCTATTTGGCCATGAAATAGAGGGAAGAGTCTGGGTGTGGCTTTCTTACCCAGCCACCCATGGCGGCCCACATCACCATCTGCAACATCTTCCAAGTGCCCTGTTGTGCTGATTGGAGAGCATCTACACCTCACATAGCTGTGGCCTAAGCTGCTTTTTAACTGTGGCTCATTAAACTGCATCTAAGCTGCCAGTCCCTTACCTCTCCAGTGTCTTTTCTCTGAATACTGTCTATTTTATTGTCTACACTCACCAGCATTAGGCTTTAAAATGCTGCCAAGTGTCAGTGGGAACAGATTTGCTGCACAACATAGCTTAGATTGGCTAAGCCCTTGTTTTGAGCAAAGATTGAAAGGCCTCCCCCCAATAAAGGCAACACAGACAGTATTAGAAATTTAGCTTTTCAGATCCTCGAGTCTACCCTTGTAGAGAACCTTCTACTGGCAATTCTGACCGATGGTCAGCCAGCCTTGGCTTGGACACTCCTAGGGACACAATGCTCACTGCCTCCATGTGTTTTGTTTCTATTGGTCCTAGTTCTTTAAAGTTTCCCAGAATCTCTCTCTCAGTCTTCGCTTCTTCTGATAAGGAGGCCAAGGCTATCCTCTGGGCGAGGCCCAAAGGATGTCCATTAAGAAAAATAAGTAAGAGTAGAGCTGAACATGAGCTGGAGACAGATGTTTGGAGATAGCAGGAAAGCCCTGGGCTTTCAGACAAGAGCTGGCCCATCTGGCTCTGCCGGCTTACTTTGGAACTTTGAGAAGGCTGCTTCTCAGCTGTTTATCTTCACTCTGCTGACATGAGCCCGAGGGAGGCTGTGACTGCTGGCTGACATACAGGTCATCTACCATTTTGCTGTCGAGTATGCCCCATAGGCTCTACAAGGGTAAATCACTGGATAGATTCTGCCTGAACATGGTGTCCGGTTACTTCGGTTTCCAGAAGGCAGAACTGCTAGTTCATTAAGGCTTGTTTATTTTTCCCCCCTCCTTGTTTAGGGAAGGATTAAAGCAGCTTTCAAGAATACTGAAAATCCTGCAAACTAGCGGAAATTAAATGCAGGCACGGAAGAAGGGGACAACCCTGGCCCCGAGTGAGTCTTATACACTAGTACTCATCTGTTGGTCTTTGGTGTTAACTGACAACATGGTTTACTTTGGTTATCCTTACTATTATTACTATCACCTACATTTTTTTCCTAGTTGTTTGTATTTTTGTGATATTTTATGGTACATTTCAAAATGGTGATTAAACATTGATTCTGTGAAAAAGGCATTTAATGGGACTGATTTTCTGAACAGCTCATTTTTCATAGTTTTAATTTTTTTTTAGTTTATGTTTTGAGAGAGAGAGAGGAAAAAAGTGAGCAGGGGAGGGGCTTAGAGGGTGGGGGAGAGAGAGAATCGCCAGCAGGTTCTGCGCTGTCAGTGCAGACCCCAATGCGGGGCTCAACTTCACAAACTGTCAGATCGTGACCTGAGCTGAAATCAAGAGTCAGATGCTTAACCGACTGAGCCACTCAGGCGCTCCTCATTTTTCACAGTTGTAAACTTTCTGTTGCCCTCTTACAAATTTTTATTCAGAAATATCTCTGTACGTATTTTGGATGAAAATTTCTTGGAGGCCTCCTCAAAACTCCCAACATCTGGTTAGCAGTTACTTACAAAAAACAGTACTTTTCTTTTAAAACACTAGTTGTCTTCAAATTTCTAACACAATTTGGTGGTCTTCAACAGAGATTAAAATAATGAGTCAAAATCCTTTTTAATGCATTAGAACTTAGGGTATAATGCCTCAGTGTCGGATGCAAAGGAGAGGGCTAATGTTCCCAGTCATCTGTAGGCCTTGGGTTTGCCATGACACTTTGTAAGCCACTGCAGTAATCTCCACCTTGTTCCTTCTTTGCTGCTCAGAGAGGTCTGTACTGTTTAACAACACCCGAAATACATTCTCTATGGTTTTGGGCATTTGATTAAGCAGTAGACAAAACCAGGGTGCCTGGTGGCTCAGTTGGTTAAGGTTCTAACTCTTGATTGCTCAGGTTATGATCTCACAGTTTGTGAGTTTGAGCCAAGCATTGGGCTCTCTCCTGTCAGCACAGAGCCCACTTTGGATTCTCTGTCCCCCGCTCCGCTGCTCCTTCCCTGCTTGTGCTCTCAATACATAAATAAATTAAAACCAGCCAACCAACCAACCATCCAACAAATAAATAGCCCCATCCTTGTCCCTCTGGCCCACTATGTCCCAGACATACTCAGCACTAGACTGGTCAGTAAGACCAGCTTACCCTTGTGATGGGCAACCATGGCTGGTATTCGGACATCATCATAGGATCTCCCATCAGTGATGAGGATCATTAACTTCCTCTTGTTGGGCTTGGACTTCTTGAAGAGCTGTTCCAGGGCATAGTTGATGGCAGCCCCTGTGCTGGTCCCACCACTCCAGTATCCCACCCTCTTGATGGCATTGAGGATGTCAGACTTGGTGTGGTAATCGTCAAATCCAAATTCCAGGCGCTGCTCATAGGTGTACTGCACAGCCCCGATCCGCGTGTCTATGTCTGAAACCTCAAACTCTTTGCTGAGGTTGGCCACAAACTGGAGAACCGTGCGGAAGTTGCCCGTCCCCACGCTGCTGGAGCCGTCAATGACGAAGCCAATGTCGGCCGAGTTCAGGCAGGTCTTGCTGCAGGCCAGTCTGTCGGTGTCACAGACCCGCTTCACCAGAGCTTGCACAGTCTTGTGGAGGCTGAACCAGCTCTGCACATTGAGTGAGTAGAAGCCATTTGTTCTGCACACAGCCTGGAAGACAGAGGAAAGGGACACTCGCCAGGTCAGGTGTCACATTCTCCAGGCTGTCGTCACTACCCCGACCAGCAAGGCAGGTGAAGAGAGAAGCAAAAGGCTCTTGTTTTCTGCACTCTTCTTCCTAAAGCTCTTTCTGCACCTCAGTTCACCTTGTCAGGTGCTCACTGGGGCAACGATCCCTCAAGTTATCTCTGGACTCACTCCCTCAGCTGGGTCTCTGCTTTGGGGGAGAACCATCAGTCAAGCAAATCCTTAGAGAGAGGTGAATCCCTCATTTCAGCTTCATATCTGCCTCTCTGGGCCCCTCAGTGCATTTGTACTGGCAGCCGGCCATCAGATTGGCACTGGTGGGCGCCAACATATGAGAGGATTAAAGAAAGCTTTTGTTCTGACTGGGAAAATAAGATAAGATACATGAGAAATAGCTGAAGAAATGTTTCCAGAGCAGCCTTGCACCCAGCAACTAGGGGTCCCATACATATGTAAGGAGTCACACTAGATGTTCTTTGAGAGATTCTCTCATAAACCCCTGCCCTCACCCTAAAAGGTGGATATAACCCCTCTTCGTGAAGGAACAAACCGGGGCCAGCTGTGAAGGGACATCCCTGAGTCCCTAAGATGGGAACACAAATCTCTCTGCCTGCAAAACCCAAATTCTGTCCTCCAGAAGACCCTGCTTCCAGACAAATGAGTATTTATTGACTTGTGCCCGAGCTTGTTCCAGAAAAAATTGAAGGCAGCTGCAAATAAACATTGAGCAACCTGACTGGTATGCTCCTGGAAGGGAACGGGCTTGTGTTGCTAAAGTGAAGTGTTTCCTCCTTGCCGCTGTCTCTCCAGGGGGTCACAGAGAGAATCAGACCTGGTGACTACAGACGAAGCAGTGAAATTAATTTATTTTAAAACAAGAAATAACTTTAAAATGTCCTAGGAAATACTTTTAATTGGTTTGCAAAAACCTAAAAGGGGTTTGTAAAACTTTCCATGGACTGAGTGGTATTTGAGCTGAGTGTCCAGGCTGAGCTGAGTTCTAGCCAGTGGAGGGCAAGGAGGGAGCCCCACCAGGCACTGGCTGAGGTCATGGAGGGAGCAGGCAGTGGTGCTTGGCGTGGACAGCAGGTGGGCCAGGGAGATGGGTCGGGACCACACTGCAGAAGGCCTCAAGAGTATGGGGAACAATGAAGGGTTTGGAGCAAGGACCCCTTAGGACTGGAAGAACTCTTCATAAACAGGAGTTGGGCTCCATGTGAAGTCTAAACTGGACTGGGGAGCCCCCAGGGGGAGACAGACCAGATGCAGAGCACCCAGGGGGTGGCACTGGGAGTTACTACAGGCTCTGGGACAGCTGTGGGGCCATTCATGTGACGTTCAGAGGAGGAATAAATTTGGTGGGAAAGATGGCACTCAAGCTTTTTACATGTAAGATTCAAGGCTCTTCATGACATCAGGTGGAGGAAAGTCAAACAGCTGGAAACACATGGCTCAGAGCTCAGGAGAGACCTGGGTTGGGGACAGATGAGTGTGTTGTTGTTTGTGACTTGTGAGTGATGGTGGAGGCTGTGGCCTGAGGGAACTCTGTGGGGAGAAAGCCCAGTGAGAGGGGAGGAGAGGGCCAAGCACCAAGTCCAGAGAAGTGGGGTGCAAGACAGGGAAGAGTAGAGAGAGCAAATGAACTAAGAGTCACACTGTGTCCTGGAAGTCAAGGGTGATGAGAATTTCAAGGACGATGAGGTGGTCAGCAGATTGGTCAGCAGGAGGTCGAGTCCTATCAGATCTGGAGACACAGACCATTAAAGCTATAAGCGCACCAAAGACAAGCCAGTACAACGTATTCCTTCTCTTCCTTCCTCCTTTTCTTTTCTGTTTCAAGCAGGGGCCTTTTCCTTGGAGGCAGGTTTACATGGAGTCCCACTGTGTAAAACATACAAAAGGTGAGCTTCTCTGGTGGAGTGGGTATGGGGGCCTGACTCCTCATCTATCTCGCTCCTATCTGCTGCCAACCATCTCCACAGAACCCATGAGCAGAGTTTGGAAACCGGCTCTGCCAGACCTGATTCAATGCCTTTCTTTTCTTGTTTATCAGGTTGGCTAATTTGCAGTGTGTGTGTATGTGTGCATGCACATGTGTGAGCAAGTGTATGTGTGGCTGTGTGGGTGCTCATGTAAGGCCTCACCAGGTGGCCTGGTGGAGGTCCCCTGGGGCTGTGGGAAGAGCCTAGAGAAGCCTCTATTGGAGACCCTGGGGACAGTGCTCCTCCCGAGGTGCTGTTGCTGGCCTCAGTTCACCAGGTGGGTGTGGGGTCTTGCTCTGAGAGGGTAATTCTAGGTTCCAGACTTACTAGCCCATCACTAGGCTCCCCTGCCTAGAAGAGAGCTCAACACCTCTTTGAAAGTAGGAGAACAGCCTCGATGGCGGTCACAGCTTTGTAAAGCACAGCAGATCCTGACATTGGGTGGGTTCCTTGGGCAGTTACATACCTTATGTGCGAAGTTGGGCTCCACCACATACTGCTTCTCATTTTCAGTGGCACCTTCGACGGTGATGAAGAAAATGTTGATTCCTGACTCTCTTGCAAACCTCGAAGCCTCCTCCACCTTGTCCGTGGGCCAGCCATCCACAATCACCACGGCCACATTGGGAGCGCTGCCTCTGTTCCCATTAGCTTTGGAAAAGAAGTTCTTGGTCACAAAGGAGATGGCCCGGCCTGGAAGAAAAAGAAACATCATGCTTGGGGTGACCGTCATCACGCTTAGAAATACAGGCAAGATCTCAGCGTTGTAAAGAGAGCCAGAAAAACCCATTCATGCTCTTCCTTTGTTTGTTGGTTTTGCTTCTCCCCTCCCTTTTTTAAAACCACATTAACTATTTTGAGGTGTACAGTTCAGTGGTATTAAGTACATTCAATGTTGTAAAACCACTACCACTATTCATTCCCCATGTCACTTTGAGCCTTTAACTTCTAATTGGCTTTTATTTAAAAAGAAAAAAGAGTTAGGGACCAGCAAACAGATGAGAAAGACTTTCATGGGAATAAAAAAGGTCCCCTCGTTGCCTGAGTGCTGGACCCACACTAAGGGCTACCTGGGAGCATGGGGTGGGAGGGGTTGACCTGGAGCGACAGGAGCCTCTTCTCCACCCCGTCACTGGGGGTCAGCCAGCCTGGTGCTCTAGGAGCCGCTGGGTGTCGGAGGCTATGTTCAAGGTTCAGTGGTGCCTTTTGTCCAGTTCCACCCTTGGCGCCCAGGTCTGGCTGGCGAGGGAAGCACTGCACCTTCTACGAGCTGAGGGACTGCGTTCTAGCTCTGGCTGTACAGCCTACTGGCCGTGTGGGCCCAGGTAGGTCACTCCTTCCCGGCGGCACCTGGTTCCTGAAGAGGCTATGCTGGCAGAATTGAGAATGTGACTCCCTGGTCTTGGAAGAGGCAGTGGCTCCTTGGAGGTCCAAATTCTGCAGGAAGCTTTTAGGAGCTATCTTTCCAAGTTCAGCCTAGAGTTCATTTCTTCAGTCCTTTCTATTGTTCTCAAAATCATTTAATACCTAGGAGTAAACCCCTTTCTGCTTAAATCAACTGAAATGGACCCTGTTCTCTGAACCCAAACTCTGATCAGTACAGGGCAGAGAGAGAACGTGGTTACCTGCTAAAAAAGGTATTGATTTCATTAAGACACCACTCTAATCCCATCAAGGATTTAGTGTGTCTTCTGAAGTTTTAAAGTTTTACTCCATGATACATGATTGTAGTGTGACTGATCTAAGTATTCAGTCGAAAACAAATCAGAAATCAACTCTATCGGGGTGCCTGGGTGGCTCAGTCAGTTAAACATCTGACTCACTTCAGCTCAGGTCATGATCTCATAGTTCATGGGTTTGAGCCCCACGTTGGGCTCTGCACTGGCAGTGCGGAGCCTGCTTGGGATTTTTCTCTCTCTCTCTCTCTCCCTCTCTCTCTCTGCTCTTCCCCTGCTCACATGCTCTGTCTCTCTCTCAAAATAAACAGATAAACTTTTTTTTTAAAAAAGAAATCAACTCTTATTTTGCAATGGGGCAATACTGATTTGGGATCCCAGAGAGTAGGGACTTGGCTAATGTTTCTTTAGCATTTTTTTTTAAAGATCAAAGGGTCTTCATTTGCTAGTTACTAACATACCAGTCTACAGAGAAATAATAATCAGAAGTGGGGAGCAAAATAATCAGATTTATAGTAACCTCAAAGATGTTCCTTCAGAGTCAGTTCTAATCTGTGTGTGCTCCATGCCAAGCAACTGTGGCTCACTTCTTCATTTCTTTGGGTTTTGATGATACAAAGAGGTTCCCTGAGAAGTAGACAGCCCTCCCAGGGCCCCCAAAGCCAGATGACCATTTATGAATTGATACACTAGCATAGGCTTCCTGGCAGCCTTTGAGGTTGGTTAGTGTGAAACAGTTCCCCATTGCCGTGATACGTCTTGGTGAACTGGACCTGACCCACTGAGGGCTAGACTTGGAATTCCGATAAACCCCCCACCCCACCCCTAACCACCAAGGTGCAGACATCTCATGAGACTCAGCTTGAAACAAAGAACCTGTCTCTGTTTCATCACTAGAACAGGAGCTCATTGGAAGAAGATTCCCAAGGGTCACTGTGGAGCTTTCTGAGTGGAACTGGTTATAACATTTAATATAAATAGTTGATGACTTGTCGGCCAATCAGGAAACAGTTCTAAGAGCAGTCTTGCTTGTCCTGAAGACAGTTGCCAACCTGAGGCACCAGGCATGCTGGAACTCTGCAGCCTATGTGTGATGATGATTCTTACCCCTGAATCCTTGATGATACTTCAGAAAAGATACAGCTCATTTGTATATGTGTGTCATTTCTTGGATTATTATTATTTTTTCCTCCTCCTATATAGAATGTTAGGAGATAATCACACAGGAGGAGAACCGTGGAAGCAAGCTAGAATGATCTGAATTTGGGTCACATACCTGCATTGGAAAGCCCTCCTCTCTGGGTAATTTTCTCTATGGCAGTTTTCAGATCCCGGGAATTCATGTGAGTTCTGAGGTTAAACTGGGCAGAAGGGTTGTCTCTGAAGAGTAAGAACAAGAAATAAAAATGAGCTGGAAAGAGAGAGAACATGGTATCTGCTGAAAAAGGTATATGATTTTATTAAGACACTACTCTAATCCCATCAAGGATATAGGGTGTCTTCTGAAGTTGTACAGTTTTACTCCATGATACATGACTGCAATGTGGCAGATCTAAGTATTCAATTGAAAACAAATCAGAAATCAACTATAAAATCTAACTCTAAAATCCTTTGGAGGAAAACAGAAATCAGAGTCGATTCTTTTATACATGAATACAACGGAGGCCACTTCAAAGCCTTGAGCTGGGTTTCATGAACTGCCCCACTGTGGACAGAAGGAACGATGCGATGGGGGGACTGTGGTCCTCTTCAGTGTGTGTACAGAAAAGTGGTCTGTTTCAGGGTTCTAGTTTTGAGTGTGCCTGTTTCCCAGCTGTGTGACCTTGGGGAGCTGTTAAACTTCTCTGGGTTTCAGCTTCCTCATCTAGGTAAAAGCAAAGATTGTGACATTCATACTGCTAAAAAACAGGATATTGTCAAGTGGGATTCTGCAAACGTAAGGGTGTCCCCAGGCTGCCCCAGATCCTCCTCTCCAGGGAGATAACCCCACTGATAGCCACTGCCTGGGTTACCCCTACACTGGAAATGCGTCTTAACAGTGTTGCCTAAGAGAGCATGTCCCTTTATTTTTTCATTTTGTGTTTCCTGTGACTGGGTGAGAATATTCAAATCTTACCTGAAAGGTTCATCTAGTAACTGAAATGTCAGCTGGAAAGGAGGTGGAGTGAATTAAGCAGAAAAACAGAATGAGAATCCTTCTGTAGAGATGAGTCTCTGTGGGTAAGCTGGGAGTACAAGCATGGGACCAGCTGAGCAGAGGATGTGGATACCTTTTATGACCAGGTGGGGGAGGGGGCTCTGTCCAGTGGGTATGTGTGCACCCACACCCACAATGAAGTGGGGAAGCACAGTACGAGCACATCTCATGATGCACTGACACTCAGCCATCGGCACGGCTTCATGTGAGTGTGACCTCTAAGGTCACAAGGTCCCTCCACTCCAGAAGAGCTGGTGCTTAGTTCAGTGCTCTGATGCTGCCATCTTGAAATCGTTAGTCTTGAAAACGGGGCCCAGCAAATTATGTAACAGGTCATGCCTGTGGGTTGGTTACTAAGCCTTCAAGGGGAGGGAGAAGACTTTTTTTGTTTTTTTAATTATTTATTTATTTACTTTGAGAGAGACAGGGCGAGTGCAAGTGGGAATGGGGCAGAGAGAGAGGGAGACAGAGAATCCCAAGCACTAACAGTGTGGAGCCCTATGCAGGGCTCAAACTCGTGAAACCATGAGATCATGACCTGAGCCAAAACCAAGAGTCAGATGCATAACCAACGGAGCCACCCAGACGTCCCAGGAGAAGACTATAAAAAGCAGCTTTTCCACAAACACCTGGAGTAGGTCCCTGGAAAAGCAGCTTTAGGCGGTTTGGGTGGGAATTCCAAGGGGACTTACAGTGGATTATTAGCAAGTCCTCTTGGGGACCTGGCAGTATGGTCACCAGGAAGCCAGTTCACTAGGGCTGAGAGGAGACATCCATTGTCTGCATCTCTCCCTGCTTCCCCCCTCCACTTCACCCCTAATCCTGACTTTTCTGGGTATCTCAAGGTGATCTATGTCAGAGGAGAACTCGCGGAGACAGGAAGTGTGACCCTCTGTCCTCCATTTTATTACTAAATGTGAGGGACACCGCAGGTTCTTAGACAAAACCAAACGAAGTGCCCAGAAGGCATGCTTGTCTCTGGGAGAGGCAGGACAGGCTCCCTTCAGGGAAGACAAGGGAGGTTTAAAAGCAGCTCAGCAAGGTGAGCATTGGGGCCAAACCCAACCAGAGCCATGCCACCAGATGAAAACCAAATTCTAGTTCTGGATTAAACAAAAACAAACGACAACAAAGCAAACTGAAGAATGGGGAAACGCGGGCGTTTGAGCCAAGCCCCACCTTGCTCTCAACCTAAGTGCAGCGTGGATCCTAGTGAATGGGCTGCAGTAACACAAGCCCTGGGTGGGCCCCAGGGAGGAGGGATCACACAGAGGAGGAACTTTGTGCCTTTCACGGTTAGGTTTTTCTCTCCCTCCTGGCTCCAGGGTTTGGGGGCTTATGTCCTTTACAGATCAATGTCAGTGAATGCTGAACTTGCCCCCTGACTGTCAAGGCTCAAACCCTGGACTCCATCTTTATTTGCTCATCGTAGGGCCCATGAGTGCTGTTAGTAAAATCTTGCAAGTTCCTCTGTACACCATCGCTTTCTTTTATCCCTCCTCTGTTAGTCTGCAGCGACCCTCATGAGTTCAGCCACCTTACTTCTTGATGTTTCTATTATAAGAGTCTCTATTTGGTCTCTGCAAAGCCAACTATATGCACATCTGCTAAAAACCTCTTCCTCAGGTTCCGCTCTGAGCGTAAAATTCCTCTGCTCAAAAATCACCGGAGGCTCCCATTGCTAAACTTCATATTTTATCTTTCAAAAGCCCATAATTTAATCCCAGCATACAACAATCATATCATGCTGTCTCTGTCTCAGGGTAGCCTATATCCTAGGAGAAAGAGCTGCTCACTATTTCCTGGTTTTAGAGTTTTGTCACCTTGCTTGTCAATCCCCTTATCTGGAAAACCCAACTTGTGCCCACCCTCCACCTCGGGGTCCCTGTCGCCCTGCCCCCTACTCAGCTGACAACCTCCACACCTGACTCTGCTTTCCTCTAACCCACAACACTGTACATGGTATGTAGTGCCTGAAGGTTCTCAATGAACAGTATTAAAGAAATGAACAGTTCCTCTTTTTCTGTGCTTCTCTGCGTCTAAGTGCTGGTGTTGCCCAGAGTGTATCTCCCTCGTGTCTCTCCTCCTCAATTTATGCCCTTCCTTGGGAGAACTCATGAACTTCAGTCACCAGGGGTTCAGAGACCATCCCCATGCCATCGCTATCTGGTGCACACCAGTCAGTCCTCTCTCCCGAGCCCCCAATAGACATGAAATGAATTCCATCCTTTTCCATCCAGAATGCACTGTGTGGTGCCTGGGGGTGGTCCACAGCTACCGCAGGTTGGATATTCCCAAAACTGAGGTCATTTATCTTCTAAATCTGCTCCATCCAACGACCCACATCCCCATCTCAGTTCCCTGTTCTGACTCATTGTCATCTCAGCAGAAAGCATGCTGGACATGTTCTGACACCTTCTTCATCAAATGACATTTACTATCAGACTGACCCCTTAAATATCTTTTGTATCTCTCCAATCCTTTTCATCCCCAAGTTTGGACTTGGAGCTTTCCTTTCTTCAAGTACTGCTAGAGCTTCCCACCTGGTCTTCCTGTCAGAGGGGCCTCTGAATAGGACCTTTTTTTTTTTTTTTTTAAGTAGGCTTCACACCCAGTACAGAGCCCAATGTGGGGCTTGAACTCATGACTCCAAGATCAAGACCTGAGCTGAGATCAAGAGCCGGATGTTTAACCGACTGAGCCACCCAGGCACCCCTCTGCAGAGGACCTTTTATTCAATAGGCTATAAATACTGACCAAAGGCAAATTAACCTGGGAGCTAATAATACTTTTTCCAAGCGGGCTAATTTTTTATTTGTCATTTTTTGTTCTTTTTCTCAACAGGACACTTGAGCTGCATCAACTTCAGAGTTCCCAAAGAAGGACTAGGAACTTTCTGAGGGCCTAAAAAATAAAATATGAGTCGAACCAAAACAAAATATTATGGGCTATAAAATTAAAAATTGCAAAATGGATATCGACAATGTTAAGTATGTGGTTATCTACCAAACATAACACAATATACACTTGCGTAGTTGTACTGTTTTAAACTCACAAAATAGTAATTACATTTGAAAATGATTTGTTGGCTAGGTTTTCTCCCTCTGCAGGATTTCCTGCGTCTGTCTGATGATTGTGCAGAAATCATAGCTAATCATAAAGTGTTGCTCATACACACATCACTTAAAAAAAGCAAAGATATAAAACTTTCTTTCAAAAGTTTTTCCAGAAAAAAATGTATTTAAATGTAGAACCTAGTCACTTCATCACATCTACAGCATTCCCTGGAATGCTGCTCAAGAAGCTGTCTTGACATTAATCACTTTGCAGAGCAATCGATGACCTGTCTCTTTCCCATTCTACATATACAGCCAAGTCTCCTTATTTGCAGTAGTTACGTTCTATAAAATTGCTGCGAACATCAAATTAGCAAATATTGAGCCATTGCTCCTAGGGGAAATACTGGCTTAGGTTCCTGTGGGCCTCTGGTCACAACATTTTCATCAGCAGATCGATATATAAACTTGTTTTATGTACGTTTCTGTTGGAAGACCCTTGATTTAATATATGTTTCTTACAAATAATGAATTACATGCAATATTTCTGTCTAATACAACACCAGCTGAGAAGGGATTAACAGTGCCCTGACCCTGAGTAATGTTACCATAAATTTCCTTGGCTTTTAGCGTCACAATGCTGTCCACCATTTTTTTTTCAAATCAGTCTTCAGTTCATGAATTCATAAGTTCAGCTACTTTTCCATCTTTTCCATAGCTTCGTTGTACATTATAGATATTACTTTAGCACTTTCCAGAGCAGAAGCAGACACATATCACCAATTTTCCTCTTCCTTTTTCTGAAAGGACTGAATCACTGGTTCATTAACACTGGACCATGACCAACAGCACTGTCACATGTGCCTGAAGGAAACTTATCAAACAGTTGTAGTGTCTCGGTAAGTGCATCATAGCCTTCTTGTGCTTTGAACCCTAGATACCATTTTCAGCACTACATGTAGGGGGGGCATTTATAATAGAGAAAATGACAAATGAAAAGCACAAAAATATGAAAACTGTGGCACTAGATAGATTGTGACAAGGAGACTTGTTTATAGCATGGCAGCTGAAACAAGGCAGAGCATTGCCTCATTTGACCTGGGCTGGGACCGTGTGTCAAGCAACTC